TAACTTGGGTTACAATTATTTATGAAAGGATATAATGCATTACAATGCATTATACATTATAAGTACCTTTATAGTGCATTATACGTGAAGGCTTTAAGTAAAGTGATGCAGGCAGCTGTATGAGTGACAGTCATGCGGGTCTTTCTCAGGAACAGTTGAATTTGTGCAGCATCACATGGTCCACAGACATATCAGATGGTCTCAACTAGGTCCTGGACCTGGAGGGGTGTCATGTTTGGGTGTGTGGAGGGTTTCAGGGATGTGTGTGTGTGTGTGTGTGTGTGTGTGATGGCGCCCTACGGGAGGCTGAGAGCAGCAGACGTGGAGTGACAGTCGGATGGCAGTTGCCCGCTCTCTGCCACCTGTGTCCGGTACAAAGACACGACCCCAAACACACACACACTCTTTACACTCATTTATTCAGTGATTTATTTACAGCCAATCACAGACGGTCACTGCTAGATCATTATTTGAGTTTTTCAGCTATTTTCCAAATCAATAATTAGTACTGTAACTAAAAATAAAACTATTAAAAATAATTTTGTTAATTAAATTAAACTTGAAATAAAATGATAAAATAATAACATTTAAACATCATTAAAAACAAATAATAATAAATATATAAAATAACGCTAAATAGAAACAAATTAAAATAAAGCTGAAATAAAATAAAATAGAAATGTTACTTAAAAAACTCAAACATAAAAAACGTGAAAAAAAAAGAAAATTAGAAATGTTGCCTTGGCAACTAACTTAAATAAATACATTTGATTTGAAGTATTAAAATTACTAAAACTAAAACATAAATTAAAGCTAATTCGAATTATTTAAATAAATAAATAAAATAATAATAAAAATGATAAAAGCACATAACAAAATTACTAAAACCTAAACTAAAATAAAAAAAGAAAATATAAACATAAACATAAAAACGAATTCAAAATATCAATAAACACTAGTATATAAATAATACTCAAAACACTGATTATTAGATGCAAAATAATGATTATAATAATTGAAAAGACATAAAGTGTAATTGTTAGGGATGATGAGTTTTGTCATGAATATTGTGAAGATACAGATTGGCTGCATCTGAAATCATATACTGTAGTAGAGATGTATGTGATTTTGTTTGTAGCCAATAGCCATTGTGCTTTTTATTGATAAAAGAAAGTGGTATTTTTCTATCATTTGCAGACTCTTTCTCTCTCTTTATAATTCTCTCATGTCCTGCTGTTTTATTCTTCCAAAGGTTTTCATTGTCAGTCTGTTCTAAAGTGTGCTTCTGATGACAGAATTACAGCAGCAGTTCAGATCTGGAGTTGACAGATAAAACACGGTACAAACCGTAACTATTTCCCATTTCCATTTGTTTCTTATTTTCAGACACCAAAAGAAACAGAAGTTCAAAGCTGTTCAAAATCAACAGAAAACAACTGATCAAATCATCTAAACTGCCAATACAGCACTCAACACACAATAGTATTTCTATTATTTAGGGACTTGGAAGAACATGCAGAATCTTCATTCATCATATGACGTGTCGTGTCAATTCAGCTCTCATGTGTTTGTGTTGTGATGTTCTTATACTGTACATCATGAATAACTGTTGAAGGTGGTTTTTAGTGTTATGTGTGTGTGTAAGAGGGTTTCAGGCGGTCTGGCGTGGTTTGTGAATGTCTGGAGTGACAAACTGACACAGCATCTTCTCTGGATCCGATTCTTGTGTTGCGGGCAGAAAAAAAAAAGTGTGTGGAGACTTTTGTCTGAATCAGTGGGGAAACTCACACAATGAGAGGAGGTGTGTGTGTGTGTGTGTGTGTGTGTGTGTGTGTGTGTGTTTATAATTAATTATATTATATATATATTAATTAATTTAGAATTAATTAATTATAAATTAATTATAAATACTACACCAAACCCTAAAGGAAAACTTTTTGCATTTTAATAATTAAAAACATAGTAACATTTAGTAACATTTATATAATAATTAGTCATTATTATCTACATAAAATTTTGTAATAAGTATATATTTAGTAATATTTAAATATTTATAGTATTTATTAATATTTTGTGTTAGCTTTTATTAGCTTTTATTTAGTAATTTGTAATTATTTTTGTTCATTTAAAAAAATGTTGCCCTAGCAACAAGCCAGAACACCCTAGCAACCAACTCACAAGGCCTAAATCTCCTCAAAGCTTCAAAGTGCACAGTTATTTGTAGTGCAAAACCTTTCAGCTGAACCTGCTATGTAGGTCCATGTTGATGAACTTTGCTTTTGTAACTGATACTGTAAGCGCCTCCACAATGCAGTGCTGCATCCTGAAAAACTGGGAGAATAAAAAGAGCAAATAGGAGTGCAATGCAGCTTCTTCTGCTATCAGATTCCAGCAGAACAAGCACTGCAAGTATCTTTAATGCAGAATGACACAGAATAATGTGAACTTTGCTTTGTAAGTCTCACTCTTGATGGTAAATAATGAATCAAACACGGTCCATTTATTGGACTGATGCTTCGAGGGTTATGAAAAACACCCAGTTCATCTTGCAGTCTCTACTAATGATCTGATGAATAAGAGTTGAATCAGGTGTGTTTGATGAGGAGCATTCAAACTGTGCAGTGATGGACAAGTTTGAGGAGCACTACTGTACGTCAATCCATGCAGCGAGTGCGCCATCTACAGGACGCACTTGAGATCCACAGATTATGAAAAAAAAAAACATTAACTCAAATAAAATAAAATATTTTAAAAATTAAGCTAGTTTCCCTTTCAACATTTCCCATTTTTATTCAGTTTGTACTAAAATAACTAAAACTTAAAAATGAAATAAAATGAGTAAAAACTATATAGACATATTTTTGTTAATAAAAAAACAATAAAAACAACAAAATTACTCAAACTTTCAGTAAGATTAAAATGAAAAAGATACAAAAATAATTAAAACTAATTCAATATATAATATAATAATATATATATATATATATATATATATATAATTCAAAATATAAGAAAATATAATAGTATCATTAATTATACTAATCTGATCTGAAGACACTTTTAAAATAAAAAAAATATTTTCATTTGCTTTTATAAATGCTCTAATATCAGCAGATTTTTAAAGACCTTGTGTTTTACACTTATTTTTTACAGCTTGTCCCTAAAATTAGTGTCAAGTACAAACTGTATTGACCCCAAAACTGAGGTGGGTTGTAATGTACATTTACTTGAATAAATGTGTAATGTGTTATGTTATAATTATAATGCATTACCCATTTTAATTTCATTTTATATATTTTAATTCAAAATGGAAAACACTGAGGAAACTATTTTTATTTGTATGTCCTTTTGATTAAGTAGAATAATAAACTTTTCTTCTAGTTTATATTGTATTTGTTTATTAATTAATTTAAGACTTGTATTTGTTTTTCTGCATTTTTAAACCTATCAAAGTACTTTTAAAAATGATAAGCAAACAAACAATAAGAGTCTCATCTCTCTCTGACTCTGAGGTCAGTCAGGTTGTTTTATCCGTGTGAGCTCTTGTGTTACAGATTACTGTTGTAGACACGGGTCAGCACTCACGTACACATTCCGGTGGGATTTGACGGCTGGAGAGCCTTTAAACTAGTTAACAGTGCCAAAATAACATTTAAAAGGTCATCAATCATCTCTCTGTGCTTTAATATGCAGCAATAAAACTTAATAATGTACAAAGTCTCAGATTACGTGCAGAAAGCATCACAAAACAAACAACACATCATATAACCTAAAACAAGCAGGCCGCTTTGCTCAGGCTGGTTGGTTAGCTGGTTTTAGAAGGGTTTTCACCTGGGAGACCAGCTAGAACAGCCAAAGACCAGCATGGGTCATCATAGAGATCATCAAACCAGCTTAAACCAGCTAAGACTAGCACACCAGTTTAGGCTGGTTTAAGTAAAAAAACAATATAAACCAATCACAGAAATTCTAATGGTTTCCACTACAAATACCATTACAAACATTATAAACCATCAAATTTTAACCATTAAAACCATTAAAACATGGCTTCCTGTGGTGTGTTTTTTGACATATTCCATTAGGATTCAGTGGTTTTAACAAGCCACCAATAGAAGGCGACCAATTTCCAGTAGAGACCAAGAGGCACTATGCAGTTTCCATTAATACCAGTATAATTCCCATTATAGCCAGTAAAACCACTACAAATTAGTTCCTGTGGCTCAGTGGTAGAGCGTTGCGTTAGCAGCACAAAAGGTTGTGGGTTCAATTCCCAGGGAACACACATACTGGTAAAAAATGTATAGCCTGAATGCACTGTAAGTTGCTTTGGATAAAAGCGTCTGCTAAATGCACAAATAATTAAATTAAATCCTGTAATGGTTTCTATTGTGTTTTTTTTTTTCAGCAGTATTGATAATTTCATATTGTTTTTTCATTACTCATGTAATGAGCGAGATATTATAAAAATACTTTATTATTTATTTATTTAGCCATTCAGTTTCTAATTACTATGTTTCTACTTAACATTTTCTCTTTTTTTAGTTATTTTATTTACTCCTCCCTATTTATCTTCTATATTTTCTATTTCTGTACTGTACGTGGTTTATTTACTTTGAAAGTGTTGCCAAATTGTAGTAATCATGAAAATAAATTGTTATTGTTGATATTGTGTGTGTGTGTGTGTGTGTACCTGTTTTCCTATTCTGGTGGGGACTTAAACCTGAATACACACAGACTCATGGGGACTCGTGTCACGGTGGGGACCTAAATTGTGGTCCCCACGGGTAAACAAGCTAATAAATCACACAGAATGAAGTTTTTTGAAAATCTAAAAATGCAGAAAGTTTCCTGTGAGGGGTAGGTTTAGGTGTAGGGTTGGTGTAGGACAATAGAATATACGGTCTGTACAGTAGAAAACCCATTACGCCTATGGAGAGTCCCCACAAGGATAGCAAACCAGACAAGTGTGTGTGTGTGTGTGTGTGTGTGTGACGCGGAAACTGAAAACTGTGTTGAAAACATGGGCTCCAGTTCTCGTCTTTTCACGCTGTTTTACATAGTTTTTCTCATTCCTACGTGCCGTTTCGCGCAAGGAGAGGACACTGCCGGTGAGTGGTTTGCTTTAGTGAGTGTTTGATCTGTTAAGCGTTTAACGCAAAGCTCGTGACTGTTTGGTTTGTTTTCTGGCGACTCAAACAACAGTGAACTTCAGTGCGTACGCGAGTTCATCTGAGATCTCCACTCGTCTCGCCATGAGAAACACTTACAGATTGTTATTTTGAATTCTATTTAAAGGTTCTGAAACTGAATGTCAATGAACTTGTCTTCATGTCAGTAGCTCTGCATCACGAGCTTTGACTACTAACTTAATAAGACTGGGGGGGGAACTAGTCAGTGAAAGAGGAAGCTCCACATATGCTATATGTTGTTTTGGTAATACCATAATTACAGTTATCAATACTGTAAAACCGTAATGGATTTCTTAAAGAGCTATCAAGAAAGAGATATCGGGTTTTCGAGAAATTATGATTTTCATGCATGCAAACGTAATTGAAATTAAGTCTTTATTTTTGAAGTAATAGACTGCAATCTTTAAATCTTTTTATAGTTATATAAAAATGAAAATTCTGTCATTATTTACATAAACTTACTTATGCACACACCTGTATGGTGCTATACGACGTTTGCGCTATATTACAAATCTTCTGAAGCCATATGATAACTTTAGACGTTAATGAGCAGTGTTGGGGAAGTTACTTTTAAATACATAACAAAATTGCGTTACTCCCTCAAAAAAAGTAGCTAATTGCGTTACTTTTTATGGAAAGCAATACATTATATTACTTCTGCATTACTTTTTCTCCTCTGGGCTGGGCTTGCTTGTTTGATTTTTAATATAAAAAGTTCTATTTTTGGCAAATGTAAAAGCCCTTTCACACCAAAAGTGAAATGAATAAGCCTCAGGCTGAAGGAAATGTAAATTCACATCTGTACAGTAGAGGGTTAGGATGGAGTAGAAAGTTCAACACTCTTCAGCAATAAAAGAAAAAAAGAAAAAACACAAATGTTATGTTTATCTAAAGTCATTTTTGCTTATTAGTATGGTTGTATTGGATAATCGAAGGTCAGCAGCACAGACACTGGTTAATAAAATGAGATTAAAAATACATAAAGGATATTTGTGTTAAACATATTTACTTATTGCAGGTTTGCTTCATATTCTGAGTTTGCATTTCAATGTTTTTATCCATTTGAGGAAATACTGAATCTGTTTTTGTGCGAGTGAGATGAGTAAATACATTGAATCTAGAAGTACAGTAAGCATCATGTTCACACAGCGCACACAACGCCTCACTGCTGGTTTCTCTCAACATGAGGACAGGAGAGTCAGTCAATACATGGGAAAACAAAGCAACTGGCATTACTTACTTGAAAAAGTAACTCCGATATTTTCTTTTAAATTAGAAAGTAATGCGTTACTTTACTGGTTACTTGAAAAAAAGTAATCTGATTACTTAACTCCGTTACTTGTAATGCGTTACCGCCAACACTGTTCATGACATTATCTAAACATCATTAGTTCTTGCATTTCTTGTTACCAAATGTGATTCAGACCTATTGCATGGCACTAAATTTGATTTGAGAGATATGAAAGCTATTTTTCTTGATTCAGAAATAGTGCAAAAGTCACTACCATTATTATGCTTTTGTGGAACTTTTCTGAGGTTTTTATGTCTTTTCGAGTTTGACAAATGGCACCATGAACTGCTGTTTAAGTTCAAATGTCTTCTTATGTATTCCTTTGGGAGGGAAAAAAATCTGTCCTCACTGAAATCAAATGCTGCATGACAACACAATCACAGCCAGTCCATGACTTGACTTATATGATGTTTGGTGATTTTGAACCAATGACATTTCTCTGTGGGCGGGACTGTTTAGCAAGACTTGAAAGAAATATAAATAAAAATGTCATCAAAATGTTCTGTCGCTTGATGGCTGGTTAAAACAAAACCTCAAATTAGCATGGAAGAGAGAGCTTATACCATTTGTTGCCTTAGGACTCTTGTTGAGATTTTAAAAGTTCTTTCCGGACAGACTGTCCTGCAGATGGACGCACGTGGTTGCCGTTCGGCCTCAACTGCTATCACTTCGTCCATGGAGAGGAGGACATCGCCAAAAGCTACTCCCTTCAAGATGCGAAAGACATGTGCAGAGGATATGGTGGTTAATTCTTTACAATTTGCAAACTGTAACACACTGATATGTAAACTTGTCTATTGTTTTTATGCACTGTATGGTACAGTTTAACCTTCCCTATTGCATTTTTAGATCTCTTGACAGTAAAAAGTGCAGAGGAGAATAACTTCATCATTAAGTACAGCCCTTTTGTATGGAAAGGCAAAATGAGCGTCTGGCTTGGAATGTACTACGACAGCGATGGTAAGTTTGATCTTCATCCGAAAACACTCCTGTGTCTCAAAACCTAGTTGTAGGTCTTTAAACTTCAGAATTTAACATATTTGCTTTTCTAATGCGGTATCTTACTGTAAACATTTCATCAGTGCACAAAAATATTTGCTTTCGTAATCTTTTAGCAAATTGTACAGTACTAACTTGCTCCACCTCTGAAAGAACTTTCCATTTTGGCGGACATCACAAATTTATTTTACTTTAAACCCCTCCCTTTCATTCTGGAAAGTAACACCCACTTTTCAGGAGCCAATCAATTTCCTGAATAAATTCAAGTCCCGCCTTAGATTCTTTTTTCTTATTGAATATCCTGTTTTCATTCAGAGATGCGTCAGATTACAGAAAAGTAATATGGGTTGTGAATATAATTTTATGTTGATTTTAAAGTATTGTTTTTACCAAGAAAGTACAATTTTGGTGTGAAATGATAAAAAAAAATTTAGTGAGTCAATTATATTTGTCAATTTAGTCAATTATAATGAGTAAATTTCAGAATTAAAAAAGTTTTTGTCTACAATATCGCTTTTTTGTTCTTCGCTATGCAAATCCTATTTAATTGAATTTAAAGGAATTTCAATGATTTTTAACTATTTAATTCATTGTGCAAGTTCTGTTTTATGAAGTAAAATATAACTTGTGCATTGAATCAAATAGTAAAATGTTCTGAAAATAAGATTTTTCCCCCTTAAAGACAAAACAAAACTATGCCGTACATGTTTAAGCAGATTATTGGACATGGTCCAGCTTCTCTACATGGACTGCAGCTGAACTTGACTAATCTGTTCAGACCAGAGGCCTTGGCAAAGAGTTGTTTACCAGACTGTTGCATAGTCAGTGCTTTTAGTCGAGCCTGTTAAAGGAGAAGTGCTTTGGAAAATCTTCACCAGTCTGTTCAGTTATTTTTGAGCATGTCTGGTGTTGCTGACACTTTGTATGCCTTCTAATTGAGTGAATCATACGTACTTTAAGGTGTAAAGGGTTAGTTTATGCAAAAATAAATATTTTAGCACCGGTTTCTCACACTCATGTTATTCTGAGCTCTTCTTTTGTACATGAAGCGCAAAATGAAATTTAAGGAAGAATGTTCAAGCTGTTCTACTGTACTTATTCTCAATTCAAATTAGGGTTGGACGATATGGCCAAAAAAAATATCACGATAATCAGTTGATATCGATAATTATCACGATAAATCTAAAAAAAAAAAGTTTAAAGCCAGATTTTTGCTCCAAAGTGAAAGTTGTAGAAACCAGACCATTAATTTGGGCTCATTATAATGATTTAACAAAATAAATATCTAAATAGAAAAATGTATTTCTTAGTTTCTGCATGTTCTAATGAGTGATATTGTTTCAAATCAAGAAACAGGTTTGGGTTGCCTGATAATATTAATAATAATAATATTACTTTTTTGTCTCTTAGAAATGCACATTTGATAGTAGCTTGAGTTAGGATGCGGAGGTAAATTTTTGTTCATTATCAAAATCATTAACATCTGTAAAAAATTTTGAAATCTCAGTTTCATATGGTTAAATTTATTCTGACCAAGTTTGTTTTTTTTGTTGGTTTTTTTTATTAAGCATTGGTCTCCCATAGCAGCATACATTTAAATCATGATAAACACAGTTAAAACCACACATATAGAACCACAATACCATGGTAAAAATAGAACTATATGGTTTTTAGGTAGCCTATTTGTATGAAAAACAGTAGTCTAAAAACACTATAAATGCACACATGCTATAGCTTAATCACAAATACATAGTACAGTTATATACCACTGCCCCTGTAATAAACTTCAATGTGAATATCCCACATTTCTTCCACAATACCATGGTGCAGTAAGTGTTACTGCAGAAAATCCATGGTAAATGATGGCGATGTATAGATTGAAAAGCCTTCTGACTGTCTCGTTGCACACAGTGTTTCTCCTGTTTGGCTCTAAACTAGTTTAAATCACAGAGTTCTTCGCTGAATTCAAGCACTTCACACTGGATCTCACACCGCTGTTTAGTGTCGCGTGACCGAGTAAACGCATCTGCTCTTGTGAGACTTAAATGAGTCATGCTGTTTCGTTCCGCTTTTGGTGCATAAACATTATATCGAGCATCTATCGAACTCTTCATATCGTTTTATCGAGTAAAATCATATCGCGATAATTATCGTTATCGAATTATCGCCCAGCCCTAATTCAAATGGTGCTTTTTGACACGCTGTGTAGGTTTGACAACATTGACCGGTTTAAATGGTGAGTAAATGATGACAAAGTCTTTGAACTGGCCCTTTAACGTTGCTCTGTATCTTCAGGTTATATCAGAAGTCCATTCATAATGTACATGTAAACACCCATCAACTTTCCGAGCCGTCTTCCTCTAGTGCGATTTTCACACGTGTCGTCTCACAACACAAGGAAATCCTGTTATTTTAGGGGCTGATCGGGTGGTTTGTGGATTCAAAGAATACATCATCCACACCCAGAGCCCAGATGCTTTCAAGTGAAAACTATAGAAACATATTCCAGACGCCACACGTTTACATCAGTCTGTTTAGGCTTCACGATGAAAGACTTCACTTAGTTATTGAACAATGAACCAGAGGACAAAGTGAACTTTGATCATGTGTTCATGGCTCAGTAAGAATGGCCTGATGTGACAGAGATTCAGGCCAGTGCTGCATTATATTTCATTCATCAGGTGTTTACATGTGTTTTTATGCTAATGTTGTTCAGATGAGGTTTTGTTGCAAGTGCAAGAATAAGTTGTCATAGTCTTGGACACTACGGTTAGAATAGGTTGAAAACGATAAACAAGTCACTTTATGTCATTGTTTAACAGCAAAAGTGTGTATGAATCTGTAATTATTAAAAAAATTTTGTTTTGATAATTAATCAAAACAATTAATCAAATTGTTTTTTGGTAAAGAAAATTTTGTGTTGTGTGGGGAATATATATATATATACATATATAGTTTTTATTATATTATTTTTATAAACTATTATATTTGAAAAATATATATAATATATTAAATTATATTTGTATTTAATTATTATTATATTTGAAAAAATAATATATTATTTTTTATGAAAAAATTTTTTGCCATTGAGTTTTAAATGAAGGATTGGGAGGAGCTAATCCTGTCAATCATAACGCATCACAACGAATATATAAACAGCTGCTTACATCACTACTGGCAATCCAGTTTCTTTTACTTTATTACTTAGGCTGCTTCATTATTAAGCTGTCCAAGTGGGCTTTATGCGTTTATACCTTCATTATATTGAAGGATTATATGTGCAGGGGAACTTGTGAAACATGTTTCACAGTGAAAATGATAGCAAGGAAAGTACAAATCTGAACCACCCTGAACCGATCCTTATTGTAGAGTGCATCATTTGTTTTCACTGAGAATTTCTGTGAAATATGTCTCATTACAAGCATATCTCTCTCTATGTGTCTTGCAGAAGATGTCTTCAAGTGGCATGACGTTAACAGCGTGTTGCGCTATAGTAACAGGGAGGACGGCGGCTCTGATGACACTGATCTGCCTCTCTTGGACACGTGTGTCGTTCTTCACTCTAACACAGGGAAGTGGGAAAACGTCAGCTGCACGGATGAACCTGAGAACGGAGTAGTGTGTAAGACGAGTAAGTGCACACTTCTTGGATTAGGGCAATTCAGTGTTATTTCAGTACAACTGACCCTTCGGCGATCTGACCAATCATAACGCTGAATCTGCCATTTTGTCCGACAAACAAACCAGACAGGAGAGTAGATTAACGTCAGTGGAGTTGAACTTAAAAAACGGTGTGTATTGACGTCTTTCCGCGGTTGAGATAAGATACCTCCTGATGTCGATTTTGTGCTGTAACTAGTAAAGAGGATCTGTCACGACACATTAAAGAGCAACAAATTGGTATTTATTGTTTGAATTTCTTCATACCAAAGGTAACCTGCTCTGTCTTGTCTGTCAGTTTCCTCTTTGCTCCGCGGTGTATTTTTCACTGCGTGAGAACCTGATGTGTGCCGTGAGAGCCCCTTGGCTTGTCGGACATAGCAACAGTAACTAAGGGGGCGGGTCTTTGCGAAGGGTCAATTGAGATGCTACTATAGTTTTTCATTATTTTTGTGTTTTCCATTTTTATCCTAATTTTTGTTAAAGTTTTAGTAATTTTGTTGTGTGTAGTTATTTTTTTTATACCATTTCTATATAGTTTTATTCATTTTAGTACATTGTTAAACTAAATGAAAATGAGAAATGTTGCTTTGTCAACTAGCTGAAACTTCAAGTTTATGTATATCTATCTGTCTATCTATCTATCTATCATCTATCTATCTATCTATCTATCTATCGATCTATCTGTCTGTCTATTTTTTTTTTCAGTAAACATTTATTCTTATGTAGCCGAATCTGCGCTGGTTTGAATGGGCCGCCTCCAGTTTCCCCTTTTGTCTTGCAGTCCGCAGACAGATGCTATTGGCTTTGTTTAGCTGCCTCCAGTTAGCGCTGTGACGTCGGCTGACCCTAGTTACCTGTGGTTGGCCTGGCCGTGCGTCACTCAGAAAACAACAGGCCAATCAGAAGAGAGGCTCATGAATATTAATTAGACAGGCCAAAATCGACCTGTTCTCAGCAGAGCTCCTGAGAAAGGAGCTGTAAAAATATATTGAGATGGTTTTTGGTACTTATACCGCAAATATATATTCTTAAGGACATCAAAACCTAAAATAAAACTCCAGAAAGGTGTAAAATATGGGACCTTTAAGTAAAAATATAATAAATACATGCAATTTTTTTTCTAGTTTTAGTTAACTATTATAGGAGCCATTTTTGGAGCCACTATTGTAGGAGCCATTTTTTTCATGTTTTCTTTCAAGCCACTAGAGGCCGCAAATTTATGTTGTTGAATTGGCATAGTGGGTGTGCATGAAGAAGGTCAAACAAACTTTTTGACTTTAAGTTGTAAGTGTATGATTGTCCATTTTAGGATCTTGGTTCTGACGCGTCGTGATGGACTTGAGTAATTAGACACTTTTACTTCTTTATGGTTTGTTGCTGTTTGAAATTTTGAATCAAGAAGGAGACAATAAATGGATTGGAATATCCAAGTTTATTATTTAAAGTATGGACATTGTGTATTATTATCAATCTATTCAAGTACAAACAACGTGACAGGACCAAGATCGTAAAATGGACAAGCATGCACCTACAGCTATAATAATAGTTCTAGTTCTATGGCCAGTTAGATATGAATGGCTGTCAATGGAGAAAGGTGCTTTTTGCTTATTTTTGTTTATTTGAAGTATTGAGCTGGTTTCTACAGAGGGCCAGTTTACTCAAAATTAAATCACTAAATACATATTTAAATAACAGTTATGTAAATAATTAATAATAATTATTAAATAGTTAATAAAAACATTTTAAAATGTATTAATTATTAAATGACTAAACCAATTAATAAATGTCTGTTGCGTTTTATTTTAGCATTCATTTTTCATTTTGGATGGTTTTTATTGACATTTCATTTTGGGTAACAGAGTTACGGTTGTCAGCACATTACTCGGCATTAGTGAATGTCACCTTTTTAAATCTCGATGTCTTTGAACTTTCTAGTTCTTACATGTTCAAATATTTATTTAATGATTCATTTGGCCATCCATAGGTTTCAGGTGCAGTGAATGATGTAATATCATAATTTTGCTAAAATAATATAAAATAGTACATTTGTGGAAAGAACGTACTAGTGCATATTTTTAGTTTCCAACATTATGGAAGATAAAATGTTGGTATGCTTTGCCCATAAAGATTTTAGAGTGTAATTTGACTTTCAATCTTTTTTATTTGTTTTTCAGAGGCAGTCTGGATAAGCCCACCGAGTAAGCATGATCTTATTTTTGTTGTTAATGTGATCTTGCTATTATATCTGTACACTTAAATTAAGTGAGTTTTCCCCATTTGTCTCCTCTTTTTTTTTTCCCTAAAAGACATAATGTCCATAATTGTGTTTGTTTGAAGCCGTCATGTTCATTGTAAATCATTTAAACCATCAGAAACCATCCTGATCATTCTATTTCTTTCTTCTCTCATCTCTAGAGGGCAGTCCTCTTCTGTCAGCTCTGGTCATCATCAGCGTGGCGCTGATAATGCTAGTTTCTGCAATGGTTTGGTTCTTTCACCAAAGAAACAACTCTGGCTCATCCATCCTCAACCTGATCGAGTACCACCCGCCCTTCAGATCCCCGTCCACCGATCAGGCCTGCTTGATAGAAGCTGAAGAAATCGAGGTGGTACCTTAGTGTTTTTCATCCGTGCCCGGGTGAGAATAATCAGCAGGCGTTCACGGGAGACTGTGAACTCTTCTCTTTTTACTGGTTCCTCAGCGACGGTCCACGCAGAACAAAACGAGGCAGTCGTGACTCAAATTATCTCTTTCTCTGGGGTGGAATGGAGGGATGTGTGGGGAAATATGATCTGTCTGAATGCCATGTGTGAAATAAACCTAAAACAGTTGCTGGGGTTTTATTACGCAGGAAAATTAAGCACATTGATCTTTTCCTTCTCCTTGAAGACTCAACTCTTTAGTGATTCTGCTTTACTAATATTTTCTCTGAGCTGCTTGTCTCATGTGACTTGACATTGAGATTAGTTTCATTGTGTCCTTACAGCTAATCATGTCCACAGGCTGGTTGCAAAAGCTGAAAAATAATCAGAAAAATTTCTAAATTATATATATGTGCAGTATATATATATATATATATATACCTTGCCTGATGGTAATGAATAAGAAAAATATAATTAAAAAAATATATAATTTTATACATAAAATTAATATTGTCTGAAAATATTATCTGAATATATTATCTATTATTTGTATTATTACTTGTTTATTGAACTGTTGTATAAAAATCAATATCACATTTGTGATTTAAAAAAAAAATGGCACTCTGTGATATTGATCAACTATACGAAATGATATAAATATATACATTTTCTGCCCCCATATCTTGAATTTTGGGAGCATTCTAAATGCATTTTATTATATTGAATCACGTGAAAGAACACACTCTAAATGAGCATTCAGTCTAGCTAGTGTTTAAGCACTCATAACTCCTCTTATAATCAATGAAGCTGTCCATACACTGTATGATAAATGAATCTCTAACTTACATCGTACGTACATCTGCACATTGTTGTTTATGATGTGGGGAAAAAAAAAACTTTCAGTTTCAGCGATGACTTGTTTGAACGCCTCTGATTGGCTACTGCATTCCTAAGCTCAACAGAATCGTGTGTGATTGGTTACAATGAGTACAATGCTGTAAAAATAGAATATGATGTAACATAAGCAGGTCTAAATTTAATACAGCAATCGAAACTTCATTTTAAGTATTAAAGTTTTATTGAAAAACCAGGGGACCCCCCCCTAAAGTTTTATTGAACTTCAATTCGAACACTGTATACTATATACATTTTCATCACCCTCATCTTTAACCAAGCCTAATGAAAAATTTATTCAGAAAAAAAATCTACATTTTATTATATATTATTTTTATTTTTGTTGTTGTTATTATTATTATTATTAAATAATAATAATAATAATAATAACATTACATATATATTGCCCACATCTGCTGTTATTTTTTCCTGAAGAATCATTTATAATCAATTGAAATTGACAATTGATTGCAGCTCTTTTCCATAAAATGATATTTTATAGAGACCACTGTTAAGCTCCGAAAAGGCCATATACAGTATACTGCCATATATTTTTGTGCACTATAATTTCGATTTGCGTGAAAAACAGATTGAAATTTAAGTCGTAATTCAGTTCAATTTTGTCCTCATCGCAGCTCCTAAGGCTTTGGATTGTTTGTTAATGTTGTATGTGCCAAATTTGTCTCTGTTTCTGTTGTGAGATTTACAAAATGGGAAGTTTTGTCAGATTTCTTCCTTTGGAGTAGGACCAGTATTTATTTTCCGGCTTTCTCCGCTGAAAAGGTTACAAATATGTATTTGTCACTGCTAGCACTGTATAAGCACCCCAAATTTTGTAGATACAAATAATTTATGATTGCCAATCACAATATATTTTAAATGTTATTGTTTTGCCACTAACAGTCTTCTGTATCTATATTGTTATGAATGAATCCAATTGTGTAAACATTGATTAAGGCTTTATTTATCCATACATGAACAACAAGCCATTTCTCAAAGAGAAACTAATCAAGTGTTGGTCTTTCAAAATGAATAAAGATTCGTCAAACATTTCGGTTTTCTGTTTTTTAGTGTCTGATCTGAAACCAAGAACTACCAAACACAAAAAAAATCATACATGCACAAATACATACATGGTGCTTTTAATAGCTCAGATTTTAATGCTGCTGTAAGCAAATTCAGGCTAAACTCTCCAGAGACAAGTTTGTATTTAAACCACAGTGGTACACAATTTGGGGTTGGTAATCGATTTTATAGGGTTTTCCTGTGTCCTCAGTGTCACTTTCCATCCTGTTTGTCTCAAAAAAAACAAAAAAAACAGTATAAGCATCAGTATCAGTAGTTTCAGTATTAGGTTATACCAGTTAAAAAATTATTTTAGAAGAACACAATAACTCTTCTCAAAACCTAAAGCTTTCTTAAATGGATTTTTACTCTATTTTAATATTTTTAAAATTAAAATATATTGTAATATTAAGAAAATATATATTGTAATATATGTATATATTGTTATAGTATAGAATAGTAATATATTTATATATTGTTAGTCTTATTAGAATTTTTATATTTTTATTTTAAATTAGAATTTAAAATTATTCTCCAAAGTGGTAATTGATTTATTTGTTTATTTAAATGTATTTTGTTTATAAATATTAATACATTTATTGATTTTTGTTTATTTATTATTTAAATGTATTTGTTTAGTAATTTTTATTATTTAGTAATTCATTATTTATTTTATTTATATAAATGTATTTATTGATTTAATAGTAAGTATTTTAAATTAGAATTTAAAATTATTCTCCAAAGTGGTTGCACTGGTGAAAATAACACAAATCCTCATAAAATATGGCTTGTAAGATTCTTTAGGCTTGTTTGTTTTAACTTTATATATTTATTTTAATGTATTTGTTTAGTTATTAATTGATTTATTTGTTTATTTAAATGTATTTTCTTTATAAATATTAATACATTTACTGATTTTTGTTTATTTATTATTTAAATGTATTTGTTTAGTACATTTTATTATTTAGTAATTAATTATTTATTTTATTTATATAAATGTATTTATTGATTTAATAGTAAGTATATTCTACACACTAGTGTTGGCAATAATCAGTTAAATAGCAACTGACAGATGATCTGCAGCCATAAAGGTGCTTTCATTAAGATTCAGCCTTTTTGGTAAACAACCAACAGAATTTACAGTCATCCTCTAATCATCTTATTAAAAGTTATCACTGATGACCATTAGAGGACGCTGTGACTCATGATATGATCCCTGTTGACAGACTGTGCAGGCCAGTGTGTCTACTTCACCAATCAGAGAGATTTCAATCCACTTTTCAAACTTTCTAGAGTTTACAAACTCTAAAATTAGAAGTAATAATAATAAAAAAAGATATGTTATCTGTTATAATCATGATTTTTGAGGATAAGGACTTCACATTACCTGTCCAATATGTGTGTAATTTGACTAGATTCTACCAAGAAACAGATGAATTTTCTGCAAAAATGACTGACTGGACACATGACCTTTGTTGGTGCGTTAATATGTGGTTGCCAGGGTGTTGTTGTGTGGTTGCAAAGGTGTTTTTTGGTGTGTTGCTAAAGTGTTCCAATGTGTAAAGTTTTTGCGTGGTTGTTGTTGTGTTGCTATTTGGTTGCCAGGGTGTTGTTGTGTGATTGCCAGGGCGTCGCTATGTGGTTTCTGTGGTGTTGATGGTGTGTTTCTATGTGGTTGTCAAGGCTTTGTCATGTGGTTCCTAAAGTGTTCTGCATGGTTGTTGTTGTGTTGCTATGTAGTTATTATGGTGTTCTGGATGGTTGCCAGGGCATTGATATGTGGTTTCTGTGGTGTTCTTTGTGGTTGTTGGTGTGTTGCAGTGTGGTCGTTAGGGTTTTCTGTGCAGTTGCCATAGCATTGCTATATGGTTGCTGAGGTGTTCTGAGTGGTTGTTAGTATGTTGCTATGTGGTTACTAGGGTTTTTTGGTGGTTGCCAGGTTTTCAATATGTGTTTTCTTAGGTGTTCTTTATGGTTGTTGGTGTATTGCTATGTGGTTACTGGGGTGTTTTGGGTGGTTGCCAAGGCATTGATATGTGGTTGTTGGTATGTTGCTATATGGTTGTGCGGCATTGTCATGTGGTTGCTAACGTGTCCTGAGTAGATGTTAGTGTGTTGCAAGAGTATGTGGTTTCTAGGGTGTTCTCTGCGATGCCAGAGTGTTGATACACGGTTTCTATTGAGGTGTTCTTTGTGGTTGTTAGTGTGTTTCAAGGAGGTTGCTAAAGTGTTATGAGTAGTTGTTGTTGTGTTGCTGTGTGGTTAATAGGGTGTTCTGGATGGTTGCCGAAGTGTTGCTATGTGGTTTCTAAGGTTCTCTTTATGGTTGCTGGTTGTTGTTGTGTTGCTGTGTGGTTAATAGGGTGTTCTGGATGGTTGCCAAAGTGTTGCTATGTGGTTTCTAAGGTTTTCTTTATGGTTGTTGGTGTGTTGCTATGTGGTTGACAGGGCTTTGCCATGTGTTTGCTAAAGTGTTCAGAGTGGCTGCTGTGTTGAATTGTGGTTACTGTGATTTTCTAGGTGGTTGCCAAGGTGTTGATATGTGGTTTCCAAGGTGTTCTGAGTGGTTGTTGGCGTGTTGCTATGTGGTTGTCAGGGTGTTGTTATGTGGTTGCTGAGGTGTTCTGAGTAGATGTTGATTTGTTGCTATGTGGTTATTAGGGTGTTCTGGATTGTTGCCAGGGTGTTGCTATGTAGTTTCTAAGGTATTCTTTGTGGTTGTTGGTGTGATGCTATGTGGTTGTCAGGGCTTTGTCAAGTAGTTGCTAAAGTGTTCTAAAAGGTTCTTGATGTATTGCTTTGTGGTTACTAAAGTATTCTTGGTGGCTGCCGGTCATTGTCATTTGGTTTCTAAGGTGATCTTTGTGATTGTTGGTATGTTGCTAAGTGGTTGCCAGGGTGTTGTTATGTGGTTCTAAATGGTTCTTGGTGTGTTTCTGTCTTTAGGGTCTTCTGTGCAGTTGCCAGAGCGTTGACATATGGTTTCTAAGGTGCTCTTTGTTCTAGGTGGTTGACGGGGCATTGCCATGTGGTTTCTAAGGTGTACTTTGTGGTTGTTGGTGTGATTTTATGTGGGTTTTCAGGGTGTTGTCATTTCATAATAAGAATGCATTTCTTATCTGTTAATGTTCATTTCTGTCAGTTGTATGTGTCCAGTCTGGATCAGTATATTGAAGTGTAAGGAAGCTGCCGGTGTCATTGTGTCTTTTTTTCCCCTAAGTCCACAGTTCTCAGCGCAGGGTAAGAGAGTTCAGAAGAAGCCAGTGATACGCCTCTTTCACACAGATCCCCACAGATAAATCACTCTGCTGTTGGCAGGAACTGAAAGCGCTCACCTTGCACATATTTCTAGGGTTTTATATTTATGGTGGGTGAATTAGTAATGACTTGAAGTCATATCAACAACGCCAAACTCCAGCTGCAAGATGGAACGAGGAATTATGATGCGTAGAAAGACACAAAGTCTGATTTTTATTGCACTTGGTAAATAAGCAAAATATTAATGACTATAATGAGGATTCTCACTGCACACAAATCTATTTTTCAAATCCAATCTTTAAGACTGACTCATTTTTTGAGTAATGAAATCAGATCCATTTGTTAGAATAGAACTCATGAAGAGTATCAAAGAACAGAAGCAGTGGAAACATTATTGCACATTTGCACATTCATGCTTATGGTGGGTCTGATGCTATTTGTAAAATTCATATGTGATATTTTGTGGTTCAAACTACAATGATTTTTTTCAGCTACACCAAAACTGTATTGTTCCACATGGAGAAGGCATGTCCTGCTGTTTTATTATGAATCTATTGTGAACTAATAAAAAAATGCATATCTCACTGTGCTGTTGATGGGAAATGCGGTTCTTATCTCTTGTGTAGTTTAGTCATTGTTAATCATTTTGCAAGTAACTCCCAGGGCAAAGTCCACCTGAAGGCACACACACACACTTTAGTCTGTGCTTCCTGTGTTTGTCTCCAGTCTTATGAAACCTTAGAAAAAATAGACTTGGTGTTTGCATGTGCAAATGCTGGAGAATTTCAGGGTGTTGCCATGTGGTTTCTAAGGTGTTGTTTGTGGTTGCTCGTGTTGCTATGTGGTTGCCAGGGTGTAGTTTCTAATGTGTTCTGTATGGTTTTTGTTGATGCATTGCTAGGGTGTTCTGAGTGGTTGTTGGTGTGTTGCTATGTGCTTACTAGGGTGTTTGTGGTGGTTGCCAGGGTGTTGCATGTGGTTTTTAAAGTGTTCTTTGTGGTTGTTGGTGTGTTGCTATGCGGTTTCTAAGGTGATCTTTATGGTGGTTGTTGTTGTTGTTGCTGTGTTGCTAGGATGTTCTTGAAGGTTGCCAGGGTGTTGCTATGTGGATTCTAAGATGTTCTTTATGGTTGTTGTTGGTGTGTTGCTAAGGTGTTCTGAGTGATTGTTAGTGTGTTGCTATGTGGTTGCTAGGGTTTTTGGGTGGTTGCCAGAGGATTGCCTTATGGTTTCTAGGGTATTCTTAAGGTTGTTTTTGTGTCACTATATGGTTGCCAGGGTGTTGTCATGTGGTTGCTAAGGTGTACTAATTGGTCGTTATTGTGTGGCTATGTGGTGATCAGGGCATTGATATGTGGTTGCTAGGGTGTTCTGGGTAGTCGAATTGTGGTTGCTAAAGTGTTTTGTGTGGTTGTTAGTGTTTCTATGTGGTTGTTAGAGTGTTCCGTTTGGTTGCCAGGGCATTGCCATGTGGTTGCTAAGGTGTTCTGATTGGTCGTCAGTGTGTTTCTAAGCAGTTGCTAGGGTGTTGTGAGTGTGAAGAGCAGAAATGCTTTCAGACTCCAGGCAGCTTAGTATTGTTTGGTGATTTGTACTGGTTTCTGGTTTTCCCAGGGCTCAGTCTGCTGTCTGGAGCTCTTAGGACACCACAAAAGCCAGGTCAACAAAGCCTAATTTATTAGAGAGGGACACAATAGCTGCTCTCAGGGAGATGAGCAGTGTGGAGGGGAGCCTCCTTCAGAAAGAGACGGAGTCTAATAATAATAATGAAACAATAGACAAAACGAAGTGTTTCCTTTGAGTGACTCGTCCGTTTTTTCTTTCAGATTTCAACTTGGCAGCAGTATTCTTAGGGTAAATCTCATAAAATGTAATCATATTTTACCCCATGATCAAAGGAAAGAATTAAGAAATTATATCTTGCTTATATTAAAAAAATTCTATAATATATTTTTGCTGAAATAATATAAATCCTTTTTAATATCTTTTTTATTATTATTTTTAAAAAATTACGTTTTTAGTGGTTTTTAAATGTAAAAAGAATTTTTCAGCAATTTTGTGAATGTCCATTTGTCGTCATTAAATTGTTTTACATGTGTACGGGCATCAGCCACCCTGCTCTCTCTGTATTTGCATTAAGAAATTAAATAACCCATATCAGTCAGCCATTAATTATTTGCATAACAATAAAGCATATTTCAACCCCACAAATTTTCATTACCATAATGCAAAATTACTGTAATGTGAAAAAATGTGATATATTATTCATAATTCAAATAATGTATGCATAATGATAGTGTTTGATGTACTACCTTTCATTTATTATGATTTAAATATTGAAATACTTTAATTGTGTAACTTACAATTACTGTATTACAGAGAATCTCATGGAAAATACAAAAAAAACTTTAAATTAATGTTTTAATTGTCATGAAAATAACACAAAAATTTAACTGGCCTAAAATAGACTTTTTTTTTTAGAAATTAGAAATTATTATTAATATTATTATTATTTTATTTTTTTATTGACTCTATCCTACGTAAATCTTTAAGTAAATCCTAAGTAAATCCCTCCTGCTGCTTACAAAAAAAACTTTAAATTAATGTTTTAATTGTCATGAAAATAACACAAAAATTGAACTGACCTAAAATATACTTTTTTTTTTATTATTAGAAATTATTATTAATATTATTTATTTATTTATTTTTTATTGACTCTATCCTACGTAAATCTTTAAGTAAATCCTAAGTAAATCCCTCCTGCTGCTTAAAAAAAACTATTACAGCATTGGAAATGAATAAATTATGTGTCTCTTGCATTTCTCAAATTGTATGATTAATTGATCAATAGATAAATTGAGCTCTTGGTACAAATGCAGAAAAAGCCAGAGTCCTTTAAAATGATCCCACCAGCTTCCTCTTTAATGGTGTTGCACAGTGCTTGATTTTTCAAACAGACCTTTGCTTTTGTCTTCCGTCTCCCTCTTTACTTTTCTGTTCCAGGAGATGGATGGTTTCAGAGGGGCATATATTATGAAGAGGCCTGCCACTATTATGATTACGGCTGTAATGGCCTGTTTTTGATCAAATAACACCAAAGATATCTCATTTGCACGTCTCTCGCTTTCTCATGCGGATGCATGAAGGAGGAAAAGGTTAGTGCTGACCTGACATTGCTAATTAAAAGGGACAGCATTCAGTGTTAATATAACATGACGCAAACTGACAGTTGGCATTGTGCATGCCAGACGCTGTGTGCACACCACCAGACATGTGCCGCTTTCTCACATCCTTTGTTAAGACAATATGGTGTTTGCACACAGAATGGCATGACAGATTATACTTGTCTTGAAAAAGGCGGTTGTTAACAATTGTATAAATGGGACTACAGAGGTTGTCTGGTGCTCTTCGGTCATTTTTGGTGTTATGGTTTTTAACCATTTTTTACTTCATCAGAATGGTACAAAACTTGGTAAAGGTTTTGGCACTTGCTATGTAAAGACAAAAAAAAAAAAGGTTAAGCTGTCCTGAAAAAAAAGTTAAACTTGTCCTCCTCATGGTCAAAAATGACCACATTGGAAACAAATAGGAAACAAATTTTATCTATTGGACCTTTTTGAAGCTGCGACCAAACTAAATTTTACTAAAAGCTAATTTTTTAAGATATCACCCTCGAATTTGGTACACAACTTATTTAGATGTATTATTTATTTATTCTTGAAGTTTTTGAGTAAAACTCGGAAAATAGGGTTACTTTGCAAAGGGGCGGAATATTTCTGGTAAATTTCTGGAAACTTGCCAAAAAATTCTAAAATTTTCTGAAAGTTTCCAAAAATTGAAAAATGTTTCTGGAATTTTAACACAAATTTTCAGCCCCATTGCAACCCTAATGGAAACTATATATTTCATGTCAAATTTGAAAATAGTATTAATAATAAACTTTAAAAAGAGACCAAGCGTAAGTCGGTGCACCAAGTATTCAAGATTTATGACAGTTTAAGCTGTAAATTTTATTTTCAGGTATATGTTCAAAAAGTGGTAAAGAAAATGGTAAAAAATGGGTTATAACTACTGCATAAATATAATACTGCATAAATAAAACTACCATAAAGTACCATAAAATAATGCAATGTCTAATAATCTAGTAATGCAAATTATTAAATAAAAAAACATTATCATCATCTGTTTCACTGAAGTAAAAAAAAAAATTATAAAAATTCTGTCATTTTTGACCGCCATTCAAGAAGCACCAGAGACCTCACGTCAGACGGGTAAACTCATTTATTCTCTAGTCCACTTTTACAGTTTCTAATTGTGCCCATGCAAAATATTCTAACTCAAACGTTTAGGGAATTTTTTAAAATAAAGACTCAAAGGTGGTCAAAGCTTAGTGGTGGAGATGTTAAAGTCATGTGATCATGGTGTAGTTTGTTTATAGCCCACGTTTAGGTTTTTACTTCTGCAGATTGTATTTATGTTTTGTTCATCCGTGAAGATTATCATGATGAACAAAACATGTAAGAATCATAAACTTTTGTTGGTCACAGAGTTTATAATCCAGAGGGAACATCTGGATTGGTCTACAAAAAAAACAAAAAAACATTTCACTGCAGAGTTCTGTAGATATAATACAAAACTTGAAAGAAAACCATATGCTTTAGAAATGTGTGAGGTTTATAGGCACATTTAAGCCTCTAAAGCTCTATCGAGGCTTTAAAGGGACAAACACACAGCCAATCAGGACATGTTGAAATGTCTAAAACATTATTCAAAGTGAGTTTTCTGTTCACATCTGCTCCTTTTTGTTTCGTTTGGTTGAGCTAAACTGATTATTATTTCTTAACAATAGTGCTTCTCTTTCCTTTTGTTCTGTTCTCGTGCTCTACCGTCTCCGGCATGCCTTCATCTGTGAACATGCTCCAATTAACACAGCCAAAACCAGCAGGACCATTAAGACCGCTGCCCACTGGAGGAGCCACGGAAGGAACCAAGAGGCTGCTGGGTAATACAAGTCCTGTGATCCTGTACTCATTCATCTTGTCAAATCAACACTGCTCTCGCTGTTTGCTGGATGATATGTGTTTCCTTAATGGAGCATTCCTTCTCAGGTCTTAATGTTGCCTGACAGAAGCTGGGGATTTTCCAGGGTCATATGATAACACTTGATTCTCGCAATGGCTTGATTGTTCTCTTGATTTGGAAGATTAAATAGGTTGTTTGGTCTCAATAATGTTCAGTTTTGTGTGTGTGTGTGTGTGTGTGTGTGTTCCCAGCTAACAGAACTTTAGTTATCTGGTCTTTAATAATGTTCTCAAAACTTTAGCATAAAAACATTATTCATACTGTACATTGTTCAAGGAATGTTTGTATGAATAATGTTTTAGTTGGACTTTCATCTAATGTTTTTTTTTTAAATCTTACTGCTTGTTTCAGAATGTTCAGAGAACATTCAAAAGTAACATCCCTTTATGTTTGCAAAATAGAACGTTCCATTTAAAAACATTTTCTAAATATAAAAAGAAAACTGGAAGTTGTGAACATTCAAATATAGAATAGCATTCAGAAATAATATTTTCAAAACTTAATGGGAACATTAAAAAAATGTTCTTAGAAGATTTTTTTTTAGTTGGCTTATAGTTTTTCATGGCAAAATGAAACCAAATACTGGTTTCCAAAATGGATTCTGTCCTGGATGATATATCTAGAAATATCACTGCATGCATCTTGGTTAAATATCATCCACCAGTGGTCACTCTGTGCCTAGGTCAAAGGTCATTTGTTATTTATTTATTATTACTTGCTTTATTTTTATTATATAGCAGCCAAGTGAAATCCAATCCAATGTTTTCATTTCTAGATTCATGTCTCAAGCTTTTTCCTCTCACATAATACACTGTAAAAAGTGGCAACCTGCAATTGTTACCTTAATAAAAGCGATTTCTACCTGATTTAACCCATACAAATGAATTGAATGTATTTAGGTTGATTCAGTGATGTTGAAAAATATTTTTAACTTGAATAATTTAGATGTTACAGTACAGATCAGTACAATTAGACACAGTTATTAGGCTTGTCCGAGAGGTCACTGAACCCGACATCTCATTTCTGTAAATATTACAAGATCAGAATCTATTTCTATGTGTTTCACACATTGTTTTGGGTAATATAAATGAGTAATGATTTTATCCATCAAACTCAAATGCTCTTTTTTCTTTTAATGCTCATCCCTCTTTGATTCCCAATCAAAATGTTCGGTTTTTTTGTTCGTTTTCAAATGCATGAATTATTAATTTGCATATGTAAATTGTGCAGTGACATAAAAGGGTATTTTTAATTTATAAATACACATACAAAACCACCACTGAGAGATGAATCGTTTGAATATTTGAATACATTTTCCATGTCAGCAAGCAACTGAATAGTCACCCATCTAAATGATACGCACTGTACAATCTGACAGTAATTAATTCCTGCCGCTGTCAGATTCATCTGCAATAAAAGAGCAATTACTCTATTTAAGAGAACATTTACCAGAGATACAAAGCCACAATTACTCTGTCTTTAATTAAGTGCAGGTTAATAGCACAATAGCAAACAAACAGTGTGATTGTGGGTTACTTAGCTTAGCCTTTTTTAGGTCAAAGTTTAACAAATGAAATTAACTGTTTAAAGGGGTCATGTGATGTTGCTAAAAAGAACATTATGTTGTGTATTTGGTGTAATTGTAAATACAACTTAACCACTGATTTCTAGTCGTGTCCATTTTTGGAAGGCCAAACAAAGTAGTTTCGCTTTCACAACGAAACACAGCGTCACACACGGCGAGCTAGAGTGAGCGGAGGCGGCGTCCGGCGGGCTTGAGTGAGCAGAGGCGGCGGATTCGACGAAGGAGCGTCCGGAGGGCTTGCGGCAACCACATGTGACGACCCCGGGCTGGACTCCGCTTCGTCCACGGTGAAAGCCGATCCGGCGATCCACAGCGTGAAGTTGATGTATTTCCTCAGCGACCAGCACGGATCAGCTCTAGGCATGACGAAGCGGATATCGTCCTCTTTTGGAAGACCAAACGAAGTAGTTTCGCTTTCACAACGAAACACAGCGCCTTCACGACATGGCGGCAGCAACAATACTACAGCGAGAATAAAAGTTACGCCTTCTTTCTTTGCGTGAACATTTGGGCGGCGTTATGCAAATCTTCCCACATCGTGACGTAGACATGTGGGGGCGTGTTAGAACGAGCCGTTTTAGGTAGGTGTGGTTGACTCTTAACTTTTATAAAGAGTATCTCTTTGGATTTGAGACTTTAGTCTTTGCAACTTTACAGATCTTCTTTATACACCAAGAGCTTGTAACACTCCAAAGAGAAAGGACAAATTTTAATCGCATCATATGACCCCTTTAAATCTTTGGTCACTGTGTTTAAGAAGACTGTGTATTGGGTCATTCCTGTAATGTTTCCAGAATATACAGTACTAGACTTTCTATTCCTTTATTTCTTTCTCCTATCCAATTTATTCCAACAAAACATGATTTCTTGGGAATATTGTTTTAAGTGATCATTTATAGGTTTTTCCTGTTACATCTTAATTCCTATAACTATTAGAACTATTCCTTTAAGGAAGTGTTATTATGGATTATGGACTCATATTTTGGCCTTAATGATGGATTTGTTTCTTACAAACATGCAGCTTTTCACTTCACAAGATGTTAACTGACGGACTGGAGTGGTGTGGATTACTGTGATGTTTTTATCAGCTGTTTGGACTCTCATTCTGACGGCACCCATTCACTGCAGAGCATCCATTGCTGAGCAAGTGATGCAATGCTACATTTCCCTAAATTTGTTCTGATGAAGAAACAAACTCATCTACATACTGGGATGGCCTGAGCGTGAGGACATTTTCAGCAAAGTTTCATTTTTGGGTGAACTATTCCTTTAAGTAACAAAGTCTTGTGTTAACCAATATCATCATCCTCCAGGAAGTGACAACGTCATCAGCGATATTGTCAATGAATTTGATAAATTATGTGATATCTGTAGTGTTAGTTGGTTTGTGCCTGTTTGATCAAATTACATTTCATAAAATGTGAGGTCAAAATGTTTGGAACAAGAATGATAGGCCTACATCTATGGAATAAAATGATCCTTTTGTCTTCTTCCTTTTTTGTGCTGGATGGCTCTTGTTTTTGCAGGAAAAAAGAGATTACTCTCTGCATTCCCTTGATATGTCTAAAGAAAATCAATAACTCTGGCTGCATGGGCTCTGGTGGACAATGATGACAAGTCCTCAGGATGCGCCACAGCAGACTAAATGTGGAAAAATAGGAATTAAAACAAAATAGCTACATTCATTTGTTTTCCATCAGCCTCTGGAGAGATAGTGTGCAGCGTTGCTCTCAGTCTCATTATACTTTCTAATCAAGACTCTTTTAAAAATCCTTTTTAAGGCGACAGGCAGATTTGCCCTTCCCCCCATTGCGCTGCTGCGCCTTGCTGTCATTGTGCTTCTGCTTATTACTTTACAAATGACCGAGGTGAGGCTGACATTTTCACTGCATGCAGAAAATCTCGGTATGTACGGCCTCTGCGGTAATGAATTTGCTTTGAGCTTTCACTTCCCCCTCTGCTTTTCCCAATCAAGATTCCCCAATACAATTAAAATCACAGCATCTCGCTGCTGTGACAAAAGCATCTGATGAGACAGGCGAGCTGGTCCCCGACGCCACTCCAAAAGCAACACACAAACCTCAGTGAAAAGAATGAGGGTAAAATCAATGAACTCGCAGGACTGTGAACAGCCACGGAAACCTGCTTTAAATTCTGAGAGCTGAATAAGGATTTTTTTCACATCTTTAATTCAGGAGTGACTTTGTCAGTAAATTGGTCTCTTATTGCTAACAGGAGCGAGGTGTGAAATCCCAGGCCCCGTGGATAAACACACCATATCGATATTTTAACAGTTAACTTATAATAATTTTCACCTTCTCATAAATATATATCGACCACATCATTTTGTGCTGGTAAAAAGCAGTCTAAATATATGTAGGTGTAGCCTATTTGTGGTCACAAATGATCTTTTCTCTCCATGCAATGGTGCTTTTTATTAATATGTTCATTTATTCACGAATCCAACTGTTTATTGAAAATCAGCTTTAAAGCAGTACAATGCTTAGCTGGTCTCCCAGCTTGGCTAAACTGGTTTTAGAGGGGCACTTGTCAGCTGGTCAGGTTGGTTTAAATCAGGTGTTCTCACTGCATGACTTCATGATATTTTGGACACTGCTCTACCCCCAATATTCTTATATCAGTACCCCAGGACTACTTAAAACTCTTAACACTGTCTACCCTTATTGTATCTGTTACTGCCACTTATTTGTATTTAATGCTCTGTCTGTGTTATTGTTCTGCCTATGGTCACTGAAGTCACTCAATATCTCAGTGCCCTCCACGTACGTCTATATCTGTATGTTTTTTTTTTGTATGGTCCTGTTATTGTCACTGTATGTCTGAGCCTCGTCACAAGCATTTCAATGCCCAGTTTTCCCCAGTGTTAACTATGCAAATGATAAATAAATGCCTCTTGACTCTTGACTCTTGATATGTCACATCCAGTGCTGTTGTCATGTATCTGACCGATACACTTCAGGATTTTTTCTTTTCTTTTCTCCATGTGAACTTAAGCATGTGGCAATTTATTCATTTTTAATTTTTTTGCTAACTGAAATCTGTGGTTTAGGCAAGCAAACAATAATGCCTAAATGTAAATAATAAAAAAAAGAAGAAGTTATATTTCAGTTTAAATGCATTAGTGGTGCAACAAATTCATTTCAATTTAAGGAATAATTCAACAAAAATGAAAATTCTGTCATTATTTAGGCTACTCAATGTAAGCTATTATTACTAGTTTTTTTTATCGTTAATCGTGACCACGTTTATCAAGCTGTAAAAAAAAAAACACGATTGATATGCAAAAAGTGTTTCACTGATATCTACTATATTTGTAAGCGTGGATTTTTTGTCTGTAAAAAAAAAAGTTAAATTCTAAAGAATACTCGAATCAAGATTCATAATAATTATTATTATATATATATTTTTTGCCATTGTTGTTTTTCTTCTGTTTCTCACATTTCATTACACCAAATACACAAAATAATGTTCTTTTTAGCAGCATCATATGACCCCTTTAACAATAAAAAAAACCAAAGAGCCAAACCTAAAAAAAAAAAAGAGCTAGCAATTAAATTCTGCTTACTCCGATAAAACAGTAATATCAACCTATCAAACGGAGAGATTCTGTGATGGTAGCGGTTTCGGATTTGTTCTACATGTAGCCGAAGTGAAAATGACACAAACGAAGCGCTGGAATGTTGAGCAAGCGCTCTGGTGACGTCACGCCGCTTTTATGGCATAGGATTGCCGCCATACGCTTTCTTCAAGCGCGACCGTGAACGTGAAGCTTCTTCACTTCTTCACTCAGATTCACACACACTCACAAGTCGCACAGGCAGCGCTGCTCTGCTCTGCTCCGGCTCCTCATACCGCTGTCGGACTCTAAGAAACCGCTCGGAAATTATCCGTTTCCTTTTACGAGGTCGCTGGATGATTTATCTCAAAGTGAAAGCAGAAGGTGAGCGAATTATTTCACTAATCTGACGGAGACCGCGCGCGCGTCCTTCAGCGTGCTGGTTTGTGTCTACTTGCTGTTTGTTGTTTGCGCACTGAATCCGATTGAAAACGGTCACAAACTCACCGAGAGATGAGTTATTGATCTTAATCTGTGGTTACAGTCATCAGGTATAGAATGCATATTAAACTTGTCAACGCATTTCAATTAAAACGCGGCTTTTCAATCTTAAAATCGTGCGTAAAGTAGTTTTCTGTCATGACAGTCCCTTTGTGAACACTATAGCATCACCTGGTCAATCGGTAGTTGACATATTAATTAGGGTTTTCTTATTCAAAACCAAATCTAGATATTTTATAAGGGAAAGTGTGTGTCTTAACTGTTCACTGTTTAATTGTAGCTATCAATTTGTTATACGACTTATGAATATTTAAGTACAAATGTTGCGTCTATCAATTAAAGTGAGCCTATTAATAAAACAAAATAATTAGGCAAAAATGTACTGTAAAGATCGTTAAGATGATTTTCTCATCTTTGATGACTGCAGTTAGTAATAGAAACACGAAATTGTGTCATTTTTGCACAGTATTCAGCTTTGCATTCAATCAGAAAGATGTTTTTTTAGTGCTATTGTGCTGATCTTCGCTATGGATATTTAACATTTGCCAAATCATGCGAGTCAAAAGGAAACAGCTGGGCAGGAGAGGTTTGATGTTACAGATGTTGTTCAGGGTTTGATGTTCCAGCAGTCATGGATGATTTATGATGACTCATCTACAATGACTGTCCTATTAAGATTATGTTTTTTGTGTATTATTTGATGAATTCAACACAGCCGATGAAGGTGGTGAAGTCTTGATAGTGGAATTAATTTCTAATGCACTGAAGTTCTAAAATACATAATTTTGGGGAAGAATTATAAACGTGTTTGTAACTTAAATATATTTTAGTGTTTTTGTGATTTGATGATTCATGCATCAGAAAAAGTGGCATTTTTATGTAACCTGAACCGTTTTATGTTTTATAAAGCTTTATGCATTTTTTTTTTTTTTTTGCACATGCTTGGTTGTTTAAATCAATGCATTGTTGAAACAAGTTACCATATTGAGCCAGATCACCTTGATCTGTTTGGCTTTTGAAGAAGTGTTACATGCATCCATAATCACTCTTTAAATGCTATGAGATATTGAATTGTTAGTTTGATCTCTTGAACTTCTTATGTTTGAGATTCGTTGACCGTAAGAAATGGCATAAGGCGATCAGACCTTGAGGTCTCACAAGTCTCGCAAACCAAAGACGTGATTCAGATTCAGTCTAGTGACCGAGACTGTTGTCATTGGCCATAAAGATAAAAGTGGGTGTTTTATTATTATAAATAAGTCTGAGTTAGAGTAAGGAGAATTGCTCTTGAGAATAATAGGAATTACAAAGTCTTACAGTAATGAGAATTTGGTGCTGAATTGTCATGAAAATGTCCAAATTCAGCTTTTTTCCTTTGGATTTTCTGACTTGGGACCAGTTTGTGAAATTCGTCCTATGCGTTTCCCTCCCTCTCCGTTTGTCTTTGCTTTTTTTTCTGCAAATGCTCCGCTCTTTTGGCTGACACCGGCTGAACGGACGACGCCAGAGATCCGAGCGTCTTCCTAACAGTGTGACAGTGTGCTGTAAGCCACGAGAGATCCGTGAAATGAGCTTAAATCTCGCCGCATTTGAGCTCTCAATACCAGCTGCATGAAGTCTCGGCACTGTATACTGCTGCATAAGACCTGTTTCAGCACTGAAGATCTAAAATAATCTATTTGAATCGTTTTTCTTTTAATCGATTCTGTCTGAGCAAACTGATTCACTAGAATGAATGTTGGAAAAGCTGAAAAAGAAACCAGCTGAGCTACTGTCACACTACTGAAATATGTATTTAAGTTGGCGTCAGCGCTACTTTTAGTTAGTCGTTATTGATGGTAAGTGCTTTAAAGCACAGTTCTGCTTTGGTGTCTTTGAGCTAATGCGTGGCAGCAGCTGTATTGCTGAGTGTCTGCTGTTCTTTGCATCTCTACTGGGAATGCGCATCTCTTCTCGTCCTCGCTGATGCATCGACCACGCAGCAGCTGCCTGATTGTGTGAAGATGCTTGGAAGCCATTAGTGGAAATGAATTGAAAGTAAACGAAAGACCCTCCTCTTTTCTTTTTTTCCTCCCCCGCTTAGACACACACACACACACACTCGGAGACATGGATTATACTAATACGTTTTCTCAAACTCACGTTTTGTAGTGCAAACAAATGTCTATTGTTGCTTTTTCGTAGAGCTGCAGTTGAACACAAAAGCGGCCTGTGATGTACTTGTTGTATCTCGGCTGCAGGAAGAATCTACAGCTGTCAGGACTTGTTTTGTGGTTGTACCTTTATCAAACAAAGTCTTCGGGGATAAAGATTCTTATTTTCACTGCTGAAACCGGTTTCTGGGAGTTTCTCAGAATCATTCGTGAAAAACCCTTGCGTTAGTTATTTTGTATTGTATGTTTATTTTGTAAATAATAGATGCTATTATGCTAGAACTAACAATAGCAGAAGAAGTAATAAAGAGTAAAGTGTGTTCGAGTCTTTGCTGTGTGTCTGTGTGCTGATCCTTCTGAAACATTACAAACGGGCTCAAGTGATTTCAATTAGATCCTTCATCATTTCTGGTCAATTTTTTTGCCCAAAATCAGAAAAAAAGTAGTTCTATTTCACCAACAAACAAAATTAAGTCTTTTTACATTTATTTATTTGTGTGTGTGTGAGAATTATTTTGCACATATTTTGGCACATTTTGCCCCAAATGCTTATTCCTGAAATATATTTTTATTTATTTGGTTGGTTGGTATTTCTTGATAGTGGTAAATACTTTTGAATTTAAATCACTTTTTTTATTTAAATCTCTGTAAAGGCTCAAGTGGTGGCTCAAGTTTATTGAATAATTATAGTTATTTATTGAATATGGCTTAAGTTTATTGAATAAGCCCCCAAAAAAGTTAAATTTTACCAACAAACAAAACTATTATTATTATTTTTGTTTGTTTTGTTTTTTGCATTGTGACATAATTATTTTATGACATTTAAATACTTATAAGTACTTTCCAATAGTTTTAAATATTAATATCAAGCATTATTTGTTTTATATAATAATACATTATTTGCATTACAGTAATGAGAATTTGCACATAAAATTGTCTGAAAAATGACATCAAAATGTGGCTCAAGTTTTTATTTATTTTTAATTTTTTAATAAGACCCTTCATAATTTCAGGTCAAATTTTTTGCCCCAAAAATCCTTTTTTCATTGTATTATTTTGTGACAATTAAGCACATTTTGATATTGATATCAAATAATATTTGTTTAAAATAATAATCGATTATTTGCATTACAGTAATGCTCATTGGCAGACCTATGTGCCTAAAGGCCCGTTCACACCAAGCACGATAACTATAAAGATAACGATAACAATTTCTAAAAATCGTTCTCAATATTAAAGAATAGCATAGTTCACACCACAACTATAACGATAACGATAACGATACAGAGGAACGATATCGTTGTGATCACTTTCAAAACGATTTTTTTCCAGCTGATGAACGATAAAACACTGACAGCCAATCAGAATCCATCCTGCTGTAACGAGCTCAAGATCTTAAAGCGGCAGACGCATGTGCGCTTAGAATAAACAGACGATATCGTTCGCTGGTGTATATATATATATATATATATTATAATAATTTATATATAAACTATTTAAATTTCCCTTTGATTACTTGCTGATAGATGGATAGATGGATAGACGTGACATGCTCTTGATAGGTTTCACGAGATTCACCCACACAACCTAATTGACTTGTGAATCTAATTAAATATGTAAAGCACGCACACATGTACACTGATGGATTCTGCTTTTGAAATGCATGGCTTAAACAGCTGGAAGACCTACAGCGATGGGGGAAATTAGATTATACTGACAGTTCTGTGAATTCATCTGGCCAGAGATTCAAATAATAAAGCAGAGTTACAGTCAGAAGGTCAACACAGATTCAAAACTGCAATAACCACCCATGAATACAAACCGCTCTGCATCATAGTCTGGTGTTTAAGGGGATGCAAAAATAACACCGTGCCATTTGAATGTGCTGTGTGTTATCAGGCTCAGCTCTCCCGGCAGGCAACAACATTAGCTCAAGGTTACAGTAATAGTGCTTGAAACAGCACTTTTAAATGCTAGCAGAATCACTGCTCAGATTCTGATTATTCAAAATGTTACTCGCATACTGCACACATGCATTAATTTTCAATGCAGAACGAACACTGTGCTGCTTGTGATCGCGGTAGACAGAGACTATTAGCCTACTCCATCATTTGCTTGTTTATCAGCTTTAGTTTAATATAGTGATGATAAAGCCACGAGAGGCTTACGTTACAGTTATTATTATTTATATTTTTGGGGTAAGAATAGGGGTGGGTGATATGGCAAAAATGTCATATGATTTTTTTTTTCCAGGAAAATCATGATTCATGATTTTATCACGATGCTTTGTCATGTTTTTTTTCCCGATTTAAAAAACAAAGCTTTACAAGGTAACAGAAAAGAATGGCAGATATTTAGGTCAAATTGGGCGAAGATAAAAATCTTTGTCATTATTTTATCATTGTTATTAACAAATATGCACATTACAAATACACATAATATTCAAATAAAACAAACAGTGCTTTATTTTTCAGGTTCAGTAGGTGTATTAAGCAGTAGCATTCAAGAAATTGAATGAACAAATATAAAAATAGAACACTATATACACTTCACTGTATAAATGATCCTACATTGATTCTTATTAAAGCAACTGTATTCAAGTTCTTCAGTCAAGAGCAGTGAGTGATTTTCTTTTTATGTTGTTTTATTAACACTTAAGTGATAGTTCAGCCAAAAATGAAAGTTCTGTCATTTGCTCACTCTCAAGTTGTTTTAAACGTGAAATAGTTT